AGACACTGTAAGAGGGAATTGGCTTAGAAAAAAAAAATTAAATAAATTGCTTTCTAATCCATCATCTATGGACGTGATTTCCACCCAAATGGATATTACTTGGGTTTACCAAAGTTAGTAATCAAAGGCCAGGGGAGTTAGCTCAGTTAGTAAGGTCTCTGCTTTGTATGCCACCGCATCAAAGTTTGAGTTCTGTTGCTAGCAATTCTCGTTGATACACAATCTATAAATTTTTACTTAAATCCATATCGGTGGCAACTGGCAATTAAGTGTCACGCATAAGTTCTTCATACTCGAGGTTGTGAGTATGTGCCCTAACGCTAGTGGTGAGAGTAATTAATCTTCCTATAAACTTTATGTTACCCAAAAAAAAAAGGTTAGTAATCAAAGATACTTCAAAAAGGGACTGTGTGAAAATAGCAAAATCAATGTGGGGAAAATGTAAAAGGATCGTAATCAAAGATATTAGCATGTGAATGGAAGAAAACAAAGTTTAAAAATACTTCCAATAAAAAAAGGGACTGTGTGAAAATAGCAGAATAAATGTGGGGAAAAATATAAGAACAAAAAAATTGGTCCCGGCGGGGCTCGAACCCGCGACCTTCGGCTCATAAGACCAACGCTCTAACCAACTGAGCTACGGGACCATGATGTTAACTTTTTACACAATATCATTAATGTACGTTTTCTTTTGTTCTGGTCCTTCTTCCCGCCTATGGTAAATTACCAGAAATTTTCAAACTAAAAAATTAAAAATTAAAGAAAAACTAACGGAAAATTCAAAAAAACTTTAATTTTAATGAAAAATGACAAATAAAGGTGCAGTGAATAGTATCAAAGAAAGGTAAAAATATAGTTTTTCGTTAAAAATGAACAGTACCGGAGAGTGTTTCATTAAACTCTCGGTAATTAATAATAGAGCTAAGGTAAATGTCCAAATTTTCAAAGCTTTTAACTTAGCAAAGTTAATTCATGTATACGAGGGAGATTCTGCTGTATAACTGTTTTTTATTCTTTCACTTTTATTTGTTACTAATAACAATATTATAAACAAAGTGATATGAGAAATAAAAAAACAAAATAAATAACTGATTACATGCAAGATTTTGTTGATACTACAAAATAATTCTTACCAAATTTCCCACTTTTAGTCAAAAATTTTCTTCTTTACAGTACACGTGGTTTAGTTGTTATGTACAATGATACATTTTTATATTGAGAAGTGAAAAATGAATTAGTTATGAACTCGTCATTTACGAGATTCAACCCTAAGACTTCTTAAATGAATACCAATATTACTTAGAGAATAATAGAAGTAGCACACGTGACTTATATTTAATTGCTTCTTATTGAGAAATTTGGAAATATAATCATTTGGTAACCTAATTTTTCCAATTCTTATAAAACTAACTAAAATTGACATTCAAAAGACTTAATTAGCCTTGGACTAAAATTCTATTTTTCTCCTAATGTTGTGATTTTTTTTACTCCCAACCCCATTGAACCGCTAGGGTCCAAATACAACTGCAATGCTCTGTTATCTCTACTAAAAAATATTGAACCAAGAGAACAACGCACCAATCACTTGACCCCAAGAAATTAAGGCCCTCTACCGCACGATGAGTTTCATGATTGTTACCCGATTAGTAATACAGTAGTTATTGAGCGATGTAAGAGTTTGGGATAAGTATTTGAGACCTCGAGTAGTAAATTCAATCTTTATAATATTACTTACTTTTTTGAAAATTGTGGAATATAGCCATTTTAGAGAGCAAGCTTATTAAAATATGGCTTATTTTTTCTAAATCTTGTAAAACTAACCAAACTTGCAATTCAAAAGACTAAATTATTGTAAGACTAAAACTTTCTCTTCAAAAAATGAGGTCTCGAGTAATAATACAAAGATAAATAATAAAATCTCACCCACTTGAGCTCTTGACCAGGTAAGCTGTGAAGCATTGAAAAAACTTGGACCGCATACTGTAAAGGGGAGGAAGAAGAAGAAGAAGATGACGTTGGGTCTGATCAATGCGAACCCCGTGGTCCACGCTAAGAAGGAAAGGGTTGCTCGCACCGAAGATCTCCACGCCGACGACGCTGTCGATCCTCTCGATATCTATGATATCCTTTCCAATTCCATCTCTCACTGCCTTACTCTTTTTTTATTTTATTTAATTTATTTTCTGATTTAATTTTGTAAAAGCTTGGTTAAACTTTTTGCGATCCTTGACTGGAAATTGTAAATTTCGTGAGGGATATTAGAGATCCGGAGCACCCTATTCGTTAGAGCAGCTCAGCGTGCTTTCAGAGGAGTCCATCACAGTGGATGACAAGCTCGGTCGTATTCTGTGAGTATTATCATTTCTCAGTTTTCAGCTTCAATTTTACTTTTTTTTGCTGGTGATGTGGATTCTGGGTTTTTAAAGAAATCACTAAAGTTTGGATTTTTTTTTATAATTTTTTGCTTGAAGGATAACTTTTACGCCTACAATTCAGCATTGCAGTATGGCAACAGTGATAGGTCTGTGCCTGAGAGTTAAACTAAAACATTGCTTCCCTCCTCATTACAAGGTGAGTTTGCTTGCTATGTAAGAGATTTTGGTGTACTTAGCTAAGTACACCAAATTTTGATGGAGTTGGATTGAATTTTAGAGATTCCATGTAAAATTTTGAGTTAATTCGCTCAAGTTCTTGGTGAGATTTGACAATGCTGAAAATATACTACGAAATCTCTCAAATTTCCTCGAATTCCCCAACATTTTAAAATCCTTCAAAATCAATTTCTAATTGAATACACCTAGAATGTTATAAACTCCTTTAAAATCCTGATTGAATACACCTTGACTTAGAATCACTTAAAATCCTGATTGAACACGAATACACCTAAATTTGTAAAAATAATTAAAATCTCTCTAAATCCCAATTGAATACACCCACCCTTAATTTATCCAATGCCTTCTGATTTAGTTATGCGAAAATTCTATGGTGCCTTCGGATCCCTTAGTTTTTAGTTATGACTCTATCAATTTTGGTAGTTGCAATGGGGACCAAAATTTGATGCTCTTTAGTACAAACTCTCATGGTGCTAGATGAGACACATCATTCTCTATTTCTCTTGGATAGTTCTCACCCAATTATTTGCTAGTTGATTAATGTGTACTTGTTACATTTATATGACGGTTACAATCATCTGTTTTTTGGCACCTAATGCAATTAGAAAATGTCATTCCCTTGCACCACACGCTACGTGTTCACTCCATTTTTTTATCAGGGTTGGAGAAATCAATACTAGGGATCAGCACAAATTAGCCTCCCATGTGGGCTGTGACTGCCAACTTAGTTTTCCCCATTTGGAGTCACTAAACTATCTTTGGCGTGTTAAAAGTGTCCCAAGTTTTATCTTAATTGACAACCAATTTAATCCAGAACCAGTGCCAAAGCCGGGTTTTATTTTGGTAATTGGTGTATTTTGAGAAATAAGTTTGAAACGATAATGAGAAATAACATGCAAATAGACTTGTTCTGGCGTTAGTGTTTTCTGGTGATAGATATCTAGCTTTTCTTTTGTCAGAGATTTTAGATATATCATTGATCTGCTTTGCATTGTAATTGTTTAGCTATTGTCTTAACCATACATTTGATGATGCGTTGAAACAGGTTGACATTAAAGTATCTCCAGGGTCTCATGCAAGTGAAGAATCAGGTAATCTCTTTTCCCCTGTTTAGCCTCAAAAAATGACTAAGAAATCTTGTCACAATATCATCTTCAGGAAAGGGCTGTTGTAAGTAACTTGGCGTCCTGTCCTGGCTAGTTGTGTGGCATATTTGTAACTTTGTATTGTGCATAGGGAATTGTTGGACCACTCATTTCACTTAATATCTTTAGGCAAGAACAGAAATGATTGGGTTATATGTTTTATGAAAGCAGGGAAAATAAATCCTATATGCTTTAAGTAGTTTTGACAAATTTTACCACTGTACCAAACCGGTTTTTGGTGCTTCAAGATGTTTTTGCTTAGATACACATGATCCATCGATGACACATATCTTGGCTTCCACTGATAACATGTCAAGTATCAAGAATGCATCAAACATAGTTTGTGAATTTCCAGTGTGCGAGGAGTAACTTTTCTTCATTGCATTTTGACATCTTTCTTGTGAAAAAATATTCAAGACTCAGATTTGAAATTTGTTTCTTTCCATTTTTCTAGTTAACAAGCAGTTGAACGATAAAGAAAGAATCGCTGCTGCACTGGAGAATCCCAACCTTCGCCAACTTGTGGATGAGTGCCTGTATTCCAATGAACTCTGACCAAGTAAACTTCACAGCTCAAAACCGACTGTACAAAAGGAACCTCAGTAATGCATATGTTATAAGAACCTGTTTTGTTGTAATATTACTCGGCATGTTCGTCTCTATATAAAGGAGTTGCTTTGCAGTGAGTGGCCTTGTTATGTCTGCATGAAATTCAACTGCAAAGATATCAGGTAATATAGGAAACCAGAAGTTGCAATATCTAGTGACTCGTTTTGTAAGCTATGCACATTGTCTCTAGGTTGTGTTTGGATTTGTGTAATAATGTGCCTTGTTTGTCTTCCTTCAGAGGTCTTGCCTTGTATCATGGTTCATATTCATGGCAATCAGCAAGTAGAGCCTCTTAGGCGAATGGTTAGCTTTCGCAGTCGTAGTCTGAAAGTTCTCTAATACCGTCTTATGTAATATATCGGCGTAGAAGGAAATGAAATGAATGGCTGACTCAATATGCTATTTTCCTTCTTTGGTATCGGGGTGAGTGGGAAGAAACAAAGGATGCGAAAATAAATGCTCTTAACCATATGAATAAGACCTTCCGACCCGCTATGTCATACGTTGACGTTGCAACGTTGATATCGGGCGAGCCTTGTGACATTAAGTCACTGGTATGCTGTCAACAAGTGAAGTTTGCCTTTGTGATGGATGTGAAATATTGCAGCAATTGGAGTGTAGGGGAGTTGTTAAATCAAGTGAAAATATTATAGAAAAGTCCATTAAAAAATATAGAATGTCAGGAAAACAACACACAGGTTACGATTTCCCTCGTAATTAGCAGTTAAGCACAGTAGTTCAAATGCTTAATAACCCGCAGAGAGGAACTGAACCATGAATCCTCCCAGTCCTCATTCAGAATATAAAACAAGACAAATATAAGTAGGTTCAGCTTGTAGCCTTGTACTCATTGTATCTCTTTAAATTCTTACTGTACTTCACTGGGCGGGGCAGGGTTAATCAGCTAGCCGCAGGTGCGACGGGGAGAGGCTCCGGTGCCACCTCTGCTTCAGAATGCCCATTTGTTATATGGCAAGGCTTCTCGTCAAATCCCCAGAACTTGGCAGTTTTCACATCATCCTCCGCCATCATTCGTGAAAACTCCTCATGGTCATACTTGAGGGTGGCTTGTCCCCCAAGCTCGCTCGGAAGATTTTCAACATCAAAGAATGTCTTCATGAGCTCCACACTTTCCTTACCTTTAGGGTATACAAACTTCACCTTCTGAAAGGTCTTGGGATCCAGGAAGTACTTGACAGCCTACACAAATGAAAGGCAGCAGGAAGTTCATCAAATGACAGATATAGCTGTTAAGCGACAAATATTGTAGCGCTAAATATAAGTAAGTGAAGTCAAACTTTAATGAGATCTCACTAAGTCACGGCCCTGACAGTAATCCCAACGAAATCTCACTAAGTTGCCTTCCAGTGTTCTATTAACTAAACGTTTATATTCTGAAAAAAAAAAAAAATTGAAATATTGATACTTCAAATTAAGTTCGTACCTTCCAGAATGCCTGAAAAATTCTTGGTGGGTTATACAGGAATGCAACCGCAAGCCTCTCGGGGTAATGGTTCTGTAGAATGTTAATAATATCCCGGGCTGTCTTGACGGTGACATTGGTGTTGATTGAGAATCCAGTGAAGTCAACCAACCACGACATTTGTTCTTGACCTTCAGGAAGGTTGAGGATACCATTTTCTATAAGATAGACTAAATGGCGGATATTATCTTCGGGCGAGTTTGTGTTCTGAAAGAACAAACAAAAAACGAAAAAAGAAAGTCAACGAGTTAAATCTGTTCACTATAAGCCTACTGAAAGTGTAACCGTGTTTTGGAGGGTGGGGAGGATAGCCTACTACAGACCTGCTTTGCCGGCCTCAGTATAAGCACGCTCCTCCCAAGTCGATCATGGAAAGTAGCTCTAGATACTTTGCCAGTCTCACCTTCATGCGCTATTTCATGCTGAACAATGGCATGTTTCGATGGTAAGTACAAACTTAAATCAAACCCAAAAAGTGAATTGAAATTTATCATCAGTAAGTATGACGGACGATAACCTATGTGCAATGCACAGAAGTAAGTTGCAGAATAGGTAAGGGAATTAAATGAACAAATTCATACGCAATGTGGTTAGAGAACACCATCCGACTCCATATTAAGTTTTTACTCTGCCATATATTTGATGAAAACAAAATAACTTACCCAACGGGTTTCTTCTGGCTTATAAGTTGCCCTCCACCTCAGCGTCTCTTCAAGCATTTTCTTCGCCTTATCAAGGTTCCAGCTCCGAGCTTCCAAATATCTCCGAAGGCATCCATCGGTGCAGTACTTCAAATTACGTCCAGATAAGGGGCCAAGTGCAGCCCTGAGTTCTTTGACCTGATTGTACATTTGTGTCATTCAACATCAGATTTCTATAGCGCACACAGCTTTGTTTTTTTCAATAGAGATTGGAAGGTAAGGTTTAATTTTTCTAGCCGACTTGACAATTATGGTCATGTGTACGCCGGAGAGGCAGATCGATTTACTTGAGATACAAAACCCCTTTGGATTGCAAGTTGTACACTTTTGCTATTACTACAAACCAGAAACGTAATTGGATTCGTTACCTTTGCATCCTTTTGTGCAGAATCATCCTCAGGGGTTGGTTTTTGAGATTGTCTTCTCAAAAGATACATGTTGCTCACCAATTGACCTCACTTTTCACCCTACAGTAAATAACATAAATAATTAAAAAGTTCAAAAACAATATAACCAAAAAAATCCTCTTTCAAATGCAATTATACAACAAGTGAATCCAGAACAATGTATTAAAATAAAACCATTTGGGTTTCCCACTTCTCCAAAAATATGGGAAAATTACATGGTCTTCAAGTTCACCAAATATTTAACCGCACCACCTAGTTTCATATTTCGCCAACTCCCTCTTGGTTAAAGCAATCACACTAATTTCCAACACTAACATTTTACCAAAAAAAAATAAAAATCTCTAACACAATCAGTTAAAATCATTCAAGATCCATTCGGAGAAATGGAGAAAGGGGGTGTAGCTACAATTATTGGATCATCATTTGGGAGTGACAGATCTCCTAAAACATCACAGAAACATGATAAAATACAAAATAGCAAATTGAGTAAGTGTTGGGCAGCTGTGTAATTGCAAATACAGCCGAAAAATCTCATCTTTTTTGTTGGCGACAGAAGGAATTGAATAGCTTTGAACGTACCTTTGGTTTGATGAGAGGAGAGAGTGAAATGCAAGAGATCCCTCTGGGCAAGCAATTAAGGTAGAGCTTTGTGCTTGTACTTTTATGGCAATTAAAAATGTTTTAGAGAGAGAATGTGTTTGGCTTGATGACGCTGATTTTTGACCTTGAAGGGGGTGGCATTTGGTGAGATTTACCGGATGCGAGGATTGAGGTCGATGGGAAGAAGAAGGGAATAATGGTTGGGATTTATAATATACTGGCAAGTAATTGGTGTGCTGCTGTGTGTGAGTCGAGAGTCGAGGACACCAAAGTTGGCTAATTTTGTCAACTTAATTTAATTTCGGATAATAATAAAAAATTGGTTGAAAATATTGAAATGTAGTGTAAAGTGGAACACTATGGTTAGGTAATTATTGAAAAAAAAATACAATTTTTTATATTTTTAATTAGTTTTTTAATAATTTAAATTGTGACTTAGGTCAGCCTTGCGTCACATATGCAGGGCACTAGGCTAGGCAATTATTGTCTGACTTTTCCATCGGGTTAGCCTTGAGCCCAATTGCCCGAGCGGGCTGTAGTGTTTTGGGGAAGGGGGAAGTGGAATGGGTTGCCTATCCCTAAAGCAATAAGCAATGGTAGAGTTGTTCTAAATATAGGCACTATCTATGAGAAATAACACACACAAAATTTCTAAGCCTCTCTCCATTCCTCTGCTGCACCCTCTCTTCCTTCAATAAAATAGGTTACGAAAGTTATTATAAGTTCATTTATTGTTCGTGTGAATGTTACATTTATGATAATGATACGTTTATTTTCTCTTATATTTATTTAAGGCTTTTTTTTGCCAAAATGGTCACTAAGAGTAACATAACTCCTCACATTAGTCTCTGAGATTTAAAATTGATTGAAGTGGTCACTAAGTTTGTCCACCGTCAATCATTTTAGTTTTTCCGTGAAAAATATCTATTAAACAAGATCAAAATGAAAAAAACAAAAAACAAAAAAAAAAAAAACCCTCAAATTTTGTCAAATCATTTTGGCCCATTGTTTATTAAAGTGAGGGTATTTTTTGTCTTTTGGTCCTTATTCAACATAAATTTTTCACGAAATAATCAAAATGATTGATGGTGGACAAACTCAGAGACCACTTCTAATAATTTATTTTCCTTATAATAAGAACCATATAAGAATTCTTGGAAGTATTTCTATTGTATGGATTGCCGTTTATAATGGAGGGAAAACATTTTATATTCAAATTGCATTTAGATGCAAAAAGAAAGGGAATAAGATTCTCTTCTCTTCAATTCTCTCGTATTTGAACAATCACGATAAGTCATGTCAATATTTTTTATTAACTTCTTTATAAAGACAAAAATGAAACTGAGAAAAAACTCAAAAAAAAGAGAGAGGAAGAGAATTAGAAGGAAGAGAATCATATTCCAAAATACAGAGCATTTTTTCACCATGTTTTCTTCCATTCAACTTTCCTATCACCATTGTTCTTTCAATAGGTTATTGTACTTGTAAGACAATACAAAAAGTTACTAAATTATTGGATTTAAGAATTTGTCACCGAAAGTAATTATTTTTTCAATTAAAATATCATACAAAATTTTAAATATTTTTTCCAAAAGAAAAAGGTGTTTTGGACACCTTTATGTGTTGGAAGTGTGGCATGGTCCCCTCTCTCCTATTTGTTGCAAATTTGCAGTTAAGGCTGTTCCTTTACTTTTTAGAGATATGAAAAAGGGTTGTTTAGTGCTAAAAATAGTATTATATTTCACATATAATTGTGAGATCTTCGGTTTTAATGTCGTAGATGGTAGATGAAAAGTTTGATATCAATTTATTCTCTTTCTTTCTTAGTGTAAATATATAGTTATATCAAGACTCAAGAGAGAGATTGGAAAAATAAAAGTTTAGCCGTATTGAGAGTATAAATCTCACATTGGGGAAAGAAAAGATATTGCATGTGCTTATAAGTAATTGAGCTACTCCTCATATTACTAATTGGTTTTACAATGGAACCTTAACTTTCTTCATGATATCAGAGCAAGTTGTCCCACGTTTGAAACCCAACAACAACACGTGTTCCTCATCACCTAATTTGTGTTGTCCACATGCTAGACTTAAAAATTCGTCACATGTAATCAAAAGGGGTGTTGGAGGGAGCGAAAGGTGCAATCGCACAAGGCTCCAAATTTGAAAGGGCCCCCAAAATTTTGCCATCTAATATTATGTAATAATGTTCTATATTTAGAAAACGACTCTTGTTAGCATTTTAGAATCTCATTGCATTTTTTATAAGAGTATTTTTTTTTCTTTTTAAATATAAAAGGGTAATACTAGAAAGACTAAATTTGTAAACTAAATTATGTGTCACCAATAAGAAATGAGCACGTATATCAACTCATATGTCTAATTTACAAATTTTTGTCTACAAATTTAGTCTCCCTAGCATTACTCAATATAAAAATTTAGAGTACAATGAGATATTCTGATTGTCAATAATAACACCCCAAAAACCAATGGGTTTTTAATTTTTTTTATTTTTTATATAATAATGTCATATATTCAAGTGAAATTTTAAAGTTAGAGTTTTGAAGTTTTTTTGCATGTTTGGTTGTTTAAGATTGAACTGTTTTTTATTATTTAGTGAATGTTATGTTTGCAACTTTTTTAAGTATAATTAATGACATTTGTAAACTTGCAATTAGTGAGTGCTAAAGTTTGTTTTTATTTAAGTGATTGTTTTCTAAAATCAATACATTGTTTTACATTTAAAAAAAAACTATCTTAAGGAGGGACTCTTTTATAAATTTCACACAGAGCTCCCAAAATCTTAGAGATGGCCCTGCACATGAGGGGGTCGTGTTGAGAGTTTTCATATTGAGAAAAGAATGACCTTTCATGTAAATTATTCCCCATTCTATTAATTATTTTTATAATTGAACCTCAACTTTCTTCAGTTAGATCAGCTAGAGAAGTGTAAATTCTTCTCTAAACACAAGTTCGAATTTCCTTTCTATAATTTAAATAATTTAGTGTATATATTATATCCTACCGATTGTCAAAAAAGTTGAAAGTTACTACAAATAATTGTATAAGTTTATGCCATTGTTTATCAGGTTTCCGGTTTTATCTTTGTACTGGTTTGGTTCCATCTTAAATAATATAATATCGATGTTTTTCAAAAGTAAATGCTGTTATTAAAGAACAATCATATATATTTTTTTCTTTTCCGTGCAATGATTTTTTCATTAAGTTACATTAGAAGCATAGCGGGATTGAGACGTTGTCGCTAAAACTTAACTACTTAAGCAATCATTGAGAGTTGTTTATTTTTTGTAGTTTTTCTTTGTACTTATGATGCTTTAATAACGCATGAATCCCACTAAAAATCTTTGACCAACAGAAGTAAAAAAAACACTAAAAATCAACCATATATAAATTAAGACCTTACCTGCAATAGTATATTATTTAAGATTCTGATTAAAGATAACGGACGGGCCACCTGTGTTGAATATGTTCTTGGTTGTTAGAACGTTGTGACAAAAAAATGGGCGAAGAATTAAGAAAAAAAAGCGACTGGAAACCACTTTTTGTCAAGATGTAATTCAAGCCGAAAGCTTCGTGTGGGGGTTGGGGGGCTCTCAATGTTTTGAGTCCTCTCCTTTCAGAAAAAGCAGATGAACAGTTTTTTCGGTGTCAATTCAAGTAACATCCAATCATCCATGGTATTGGTTGGCATGAGGTCCATGTACCCATGCTTGTACAAGTCTTTTTTTGGCTGGGGTTTTTAATCCACACGGTGTGATCATAAAAAGCTACGAATAAACGAGTGTTCTTGAGTAGGGCTGCCGCATAGGAAAGTTTTTTAGAAGTGAATGGGGGCGCTATTTAGGTATAGGTAGCAAGAGAAAGATTTTTGTTTTTTTTTTTTTTTTTTAATGGGGATTAGTTCTTGGACCCACTTTATATTGAACTTTAACGATCCAAACCAACTATTTTTCAATGGGGAAATCCCTTTGGATAAGGGGCCTATTTAGGTATATATTAGTGTCACTTCACTACGAAAGTTGTCCCATGCTTACATATATGTAACATATGGTTGACTTAGTTGTAGTAGAATATGATTCTGTACTTAATTTTAAGTTTAGTAATACTAGAAAGACCGAACTTTTAAATCAGATTTGCAAACCAAATTATGTATCACTAATAAGAAATAAGCACGTTAATTAATGCTTAAGTAATAATCCAATCATCAACGACCACATCATTTGATTTTCAAATTTGATTAAAAAAATTTAGTCTTCCTAACATTATCTTTTAAGTTTACCGAATGTAATCTGGGATTGGTAGGGTTGGCACCAAAACTACCCGTTTAGCCAAAGGCAGTATAAATTTATACAAAACGGTGTCGTTTAATGGCGGGCAATTTTCTCACAACTCAACCGTGGTGTCAAGCCAAATCTTCTCTAGAAGATTTTGAACCTTCACAGAGTCGATTGACCCCCTTGACACACCGTTGATCCGCCAGTGGCTAGATTAACACACCACTTGCATTAATTTTGGCGAAGTGCAATTTTGAGGTACAGTTTAGATCACAGTTTGTGACCACATGTTCAACTTTCAACAATGGTGGCATTGAATACAGATTAAATAATTGATATGAAATCTTTCGTTTATCAGTTTCATATTTTAGTCAAAGTGATGTCTGAGTTTGGCATAACTCCTCACTTTGATCTCTAAGATTTGAAATCAATAGAAGCAGCCTCTGAATTTGTCCACTACCAATCATTTTGATCAATCTGTAAAAAAACTTCGTTAAATAAGAACCAAAATGACAAAAACACTCTCAATTTTTGTTAAATCATTTTGGCTCATTGTTTATTAAATTGGGGGTCTTTTTGTCATTTCGGTCCTTATTTAACAAAAAATTAACTGAATGACTAAGATGGTTAAGGGTGGATAAACTCATGAATTACTTCTATCGGCTTCAAATCTCAGGGACCAAAATAAGGAATTATGTCAATCTTAAAGACAATTTGGCTAAAAAGCTTTATTAAAATATTTAGATGGATTCCAAATAGAGATAGCCTTCATGAAAAAGATAGAGACTTACAAGGAATGGGAACCTCCTCTAATAAAAGCAACAAGCAAAAGTTTTCATGGAAAATAGAGACTTATATGGAATGGGAACGTCAAGAAGGCAGTGTCCTAAATGTATCATGCATAACTGTGTGTTTTTGTTAATCCCATATGATGTCTTATGATTAATTTGAAACACCGCAACTATAACGTCAGAGACAAGTAAACAAACACCAGAAATAGGCACCGATGTGCAGCCATGTGCAATTTTCAAATTCATGTTTTTAAGCAGATGGTGTTTTTGTTAATCCCATATGCTAGTCTTTCAAATTCGTAACTGTGTGTTTTTGTTAATCCCATATGCTAGTCTTTCAAATTCATGTTTTTAAGCAGATGGTGTTTTACCGCAGTGGCGGCGTGCAATCATGTCTATACATTATGGTACGGGTTCAATGCTAACCACTTCCCCTCCCCTTTTAACAACTAAACTAGTTAACCCATTAACGTTATTGTTTGTCAAAAAAGAAATTCATGTTTTGAACATTTTGCAGTGCATTTCTTACTAACGTAGCTTAAATTCTTGCAAGTGAGTGATCCATGGTCCAAACACACCATAGAGAAACATTCCCACAACACAAGAAGAAGAAACATTGCAAGACTCCCAACTTAAAACTAAGATCCCCCTTTCCTCCTTCGAGAATGGGACATGATCATAAACCGAAATGGGGACTTGAATAAGCATTGTTCAATGACGAAAAGAATTGGCGTCACATTGGCTAAAGTAGATACGCTCCCCGACGCTCGAGCTTTATTCTCATCCTTGCACCGATTTGTACAAAAAAGAAAATGGTAAACTCATGGCCGACTCTCTTCGTCTTGGTCCTTCTATCTTGTTATGAAGATGCAAACCAATCCTTTGTAATGCTCATTAAAAACAGATATCCAAAGACGGGCATAGAAGTAAACGACCTGGATTTGTTTCTATAGAAATCGTCAAACAATGTCAATTACTTTTCTTTGTCCCATATAAGCTACTCATACGACATACAAGAATTGGCCCAAAAGAACCCTAGCTTTCGATTTGTAGTGTACCTCATGCAATTGCTAAGAGCATAAGTGCATTTTACATTTTTTGTTAGTCGAAAAGCTGTTCAAAAGTTTTGGTTGTAAACTGTAAAGGAGTAATTGCGATAAATGTGGCTTTGCATCTCTCCATTGAAGATACTCAACAAAGAAATACACTTTCAATACGACAAAACTTTGGCTCCTTCCTTTGAGAAACAGAAATATTCTCGCTCCTCTGCCATTCATTGTACCTAAAATCCAAATGTTGAAATTGTGTAACGGATAGATTAAATCGAACCTACCAACAACTTAAGATGGTGAGCAAACATGCATACCCTAGAAATAGGTACTCCTATCTTCCAACAAATAACAATTGGACACGCATGAAAAAAATAGTATCTTTTTTTGTATTTTAGATAATTACTTGTTCATGTGGTGTAAAGTGTAATTTAAAAGAAAAAAAAAGTAGAGAGCTACTAGACTCATCCTATTGTCTAATTTTCCCACCCACATTATAAACCCACCCACCTTAAAAAGTTAAAAAATTAAAATACTATTTCACCGCCCACTATTATTCCTAAAATAACCATTAACATATACATACATATGAAATTATAAAACCCTCTCTTAAAAAAATATAAATAAATAATATATAAAACTAAAATTAAGAAACTGAAACCTGCACATCTCAGAGTAAAAGATACATCTGGAGGATGTGGTGCTGGCTTTGCCATTGAGTTTTGTGTTTCTCAGAGCTGTCAAGCATATGTTGCCATTCATGATACTTTTTTTTTTTCTTCCAACATGCAAATGAAAATACGGATATGTTGGCCAAATTCTTTTGCTGTCTTGAAGTCACAAGTATACAAAGTCAAATAGAAAACCACAGAGCTATCTAAATTCAAAAGAAAATTTTCAACAATAACAAATTGAAATATATGATGCGGCAAATTCAAATAATCCACACAACATATTATTCTTTTACCTCTTCAATGGAAAAATAAAGCGTCATCTTTTACTTCTTCAATGAAAAAAAAGTCATCTTTTAAATCTAATATTTTTTTTTTTTTTTTTGGCTTTCCCTGAATATAAGGAGATCAAAAGATGAGTTAGGATTTAAGGTAAACTAGGCTTGGAACCCAACCATTTTTAAAACGCAAAAGAGGATAATGAATGTCCTTATCAGTCATTTTACACATGGACAAATTTGTAATTAGAAGGGAGCTTTATATATAGAGACAAAAAAATTCACTATATTTCAAAAAACTCCACTAGTTTTTAAACATGTCAATGAGAGATAAAAACATAAAAACAACTAAAGCCCAACTCAAAAATATGGAAACAATATTTTAAAATACCAATCACGCCCTTAAGGCTTTAGAGTTATTAATAAACTTATTCTTCACAACTCCAACAAAATTAATGTGTCATCAGCTAAACTCATCCTCGACTATTTTTGCAGAATCAGTTCAATTGGTCCCCAACCATTTATGTATAATCAGTTCAACCCGACTTCGATCATTTATGCAGAATTGGTTCAATCCATCCTCGACCATTTTTGCAAATTAGTTCCTTGTCCTCAACCATTTTTGCATAATCAGTTCAACACGTCCTCAATGATTTATGCAGAATCAATTCAACCTGTCGTCGACCATTTTTCCAGAATCAGTTTCAACTCATCCTCAACCATTTTTGCAGAATCAATTTCAAATAATTTGACCCTAGTAAAAGTTAACTCAATAACACAGCTATTCTAATTTAGGTAAATAGTGAACAAAGTAAGATACTTAAATCCAAAGTAGAAGTATCGTTCCATCATAAAAACCTTACAAAAAGAACAACAAATGCTATCTTAATTTTTCTAGTACTATGAACAACAAAAATGAACAGGAGGAAAATACAAAAATCAGTTATTTTTCCATTAAGTTGTAAAAAAATAATAATATTGTTTGGTTTGTTTTACCAAGTCAGGGCCGGTGACAAAGAAATGTACTCAAATAAGTTTGCAATATTCATAAGCATAGATACTTTGCATCCATTCAAGGACAAAAACATTTCAATTTTTTTTTTAATATTTCGTATTCTAATTGGCATAGCAATATAGGATTAAACTTAACTACAAAGCCAGTGACCTTGGAGACGATGGTGATCTTGCTAGCGCAAGATCAGTTTTCACCGAAGCTTGTTCGTTCTGTAATTGAACAAACAACGAATCGTCAACCAAAAAAACTCCATGATTCAGAGAAAATCAACCAAAAATTTAAAAATTTCTTATCACTTTCAATGAGCTTGAAAATCGCAAAGCTTACCGTAGCGATCAATTTGGATAGACGTATGAAAGGACTTTACCATTGTAAAAGGAGAGCAACAGATGAATTGAGATAGAAGTATGAAAAGACTTTACCATTGTAAAAATGTATTTTCGTAAGTTAAACCACACATAAGAAAAAGCCAGTAATGCCATCTTTCACATTTAATAACTTTTGTCTCTCATTAAAATGTTTAAAATGTGTTGTCTCAATATGTAATTCAGTATCAAAAGTATACCCTATGTGTAATTTTCCTAATTAAAAAATCCAATAAAATAAGACAATCCTACCACGTCCCCTAACAAGAAAGGGAGGAGCGAACATAAATGCGGACTCATTGGAAAACAAAGCAGCCCATAAAAAATAATTTAAAGGCTCAGCCCACCATGGCCGGACAACTTCGTAATCAAAAGAATAGCAGATCTGGGTAGATTCGAACCACCAACCTCCCAAAGCCCAGCAAAGGACTCCGAGCGCTCTACCATTTTTGAGCTTACAGATCTTTCATTTCAAACATGTCTCGTATTTCAATTTAAGCAACCGACAAAGCAAAATGATTCAGGCAGGCACGGTCGCCTTGAAAACAGTTTAGACGCCCTTCATCCAGCATTTTGACGTTAAATCCGTCCACAATGAATCATTAGGGTTGTTTTTCAGGCATTCCTAGAGCAGCACTCGTTCAAAACAAATCTGAATATAATTTAATGTTACTTTATGCCGAACAACTTAGTCTTTAACTTTATTTTTTATTATATTATAGAGTAGAATTAACCTTACAATAAGCCATCAATTAATGTAGTTCAATACCACCCAAGTATTAAATAGCAAGTAGCTTATTTAAGCTTCATGCGTGTACATCTCAAAAATTCTTAAAGGGTTAAAAACCACACCATTGAAGTTTCAAAAGAGGGGAAAGAGATCCTCTACACATCCTTTTCTACTAATCCACCAAGTCCAGACCATTGAAATTTTAATCAAACAACCCAAGTTTTTATAATTTTAAAACAAACCTCTCTTTGTATCCGTTAGATCATATTTCAATAGCTCGAATCCCCAAACTTGAGGGATTAGAAGGTACAGATCTGAAGATAATCCCTTTCCAAAGAGATGCTTCTTCAAACCAACATGGTGAACTTTTTAGGAGTACACTTACTATAGTTAGATACTGCTTTTTTGTACCGCTGTGTTCTGAATTTGCTGAAAAATCTCTCCTAAATTGGAGTGAAACAAAAATTTTACATGGTCAAATCATATCAGCCAGAAATAAATACATATTTTTATGGTCAATTCATATGGGATTAAACGAATATACCAAACTGGTTCTCCATCCATCCTTCCCAAAATCAATATACCACAACAAGGATTGAATTTATATATAGCAACTGTTGGATAATAACATTGCTTTTCAGTTAATTCTTTATTCACTTTTTTAAGCAAACTAAAAACCACCCACCAAATAATAAGTCAATTCCTCAAGCTTTCAACAAGATAAAAACCCAAAAACTGACCCATTGTAAATATCAAAACCGCTTGAATGCAACTAAAATGGAAATAAGACTAAAAAAAATATGGTTGTAATACTACTCGAACACCCACATCGCATAATGAGTTAAGACCGTAACTTGTAAATTAAAAACATTATCTCTACGTATGCAAGTAATTGTTGAAATGGCAATAGAAAGCAAAACTCGTTTCGTTGTTCACCTCAAAATCCCCGAATCCAGATTGCAGACGGGATTAGATAATCCCCACAAACGAACAGCACATAATTCGATTATCTTGCAATTGAAGAAACATTCGGGCTTCAGTCTTCGCAGATGAGAGAGTACCGGTTAGTCCGGTTGCCAAAATCCTTGGTGCCATCTAATGGTAATACAATCTTCAAATATTGAAGCAATAGCAGCCAAAGGCAACAAAATTACAGAGTATTACAAGGGATCCACATAATATCATCTCCAAGAATACATTATTAACTTGAATTGTAATCAATACCCACAAAAAATTCAGCGTACAACACAAAACTTAAATTCCAACTTCAAGACTGGTAATAAAATTTTCAGCTCATTCAACATAATGTCGTAAAGAAGGCACGAGGCAATATTTGGAAAGGATTATAAGCATATTGTAAATATGAATTCCAAAAACAACGTAGGTTACATTGAATGAGTGCACAAGGACGGGAGTTTCGTACATATAAATGGGGTACAATTGATTATTGATGCAAGTGTATCGAATCCAATAACAAATGCCTTGAGGCAAGTCAACACATACTTTACAATCCAGGATAATTTGGAAAGATATTTCTGTTAAGTAGAGAAAATAATTCGAGGATAACATTGTAACCATATATAGAAGTAATGCAAGGTGGACCAAATTTTTAGATTTGGTTCACAATAATACTTCACTTGTAATTGATAGGTCATAAGTTCAATTTTCGCGTAAAGCAAATTTTAACCTGCTTAAGCCCATTCACCAATCCGATAGTATCGTTTGTTCAAAAAAAAATAATAAAAAAACCTAAAATAAGGACTCCAGTAATAATCCAATCATCAACAACCACATCATATGGTTTAAAAACTTTAGTCTAAATAGTTGGTCTTCCAGGCATTTTCTATATACAGTTAGGGTTGCATTAACTCCCTTTACCTTGGAATCAAGTGAAGTAGTTTGAATAACATAATTCAGCTAACTGACAAAAAACATTATCATGCATGTCTACCAATCCTCATGTACCCGGTTATATTGGATTACATCAATCTTTAATATTAACCCAGATTAGATAATTGGACTACAAATACGATTAAACCCACATTAATTTGAAGTAAATTGAGCATGAGGCGAACTAATGGTGCATAATAATTACGGGTTTTCTGTGTAACTGGAGCTAATATAGTATCAGATGCATATCAATGGAAATAGGCAGTCAGATAATACCTTTGGCGGTGAGTTATGCCGTCGTTGATGTGCTGAATCCGTGTTTGAATGCGCAGGCAGTAGAGCGGAAAATAAAACACAGCACAAAAGGAAGGGACACACACCACACACCGGAGGGGAGACCCTGGGCCAAAAAAACCCCATGCTGTCTCCCCTCAAAACCAAAAATCTTTATTTTTTTTATTCAGATTTTTTGACCTGCCATGCAAGCGCACCTGCCATGGCAAAGGCCGGATGACAAAGATCGGCCAAGGACTCAGCTCTTCCACCGAGCCTTTCGTCCCGACATCTCTTACATCCGTGCAAACCCAAATCCACCCAAAAATACCACAGCTTTCACCTTCCAAATCATCATATTACAGTTATAGCTTTCGATTAACCAATATACATGAGTTTGCACCCTTCAGCCGCAAGGAGAAATCAGATCTGCAGATGTTGAAACGATGTCGATCGAATTGATCTCGGAAACATCAAGGCTTCGAACCTCCATCAGTGTAAGAGGTCGGTAGATGCATCTGATCGAAAACAATATAAATAAATAAAAACCAATCAGAAGCTGTATCAAGCTGAAATACGCTGCAGATCTATTAAATTCAACCAAATAATTAATATCTAGATAACCAAATCGAGTCGAAAACACATACGAACCTTTAAAATCTGAATCAAAGTACACAAGCACAAGCTGGTCAAACCAGCAAAACTCCAAAAGCATCTCAAACCATCTTCACAACCACAAGCCACCATCAACGGGTAGATCCCAAGCGGATCTACACGAATCCGGAAGAATCAGACGAAGATAATAATCCATGCAGAGAAGATCTGCAGAAATAGAGGAACTATAGAGTTGTGGAGAGAGAAAGAGAACATAAGGTAGCGTTGAAACCTGAATGGTTTAGAGCCATCCACCCTAACGTAACTTTTATAATGGGATAAGGGTTGCGATGGACGGTTAAGATTGATTTCGCATCTTTGAAATCGACGACTAGTATGGGATGTCGTGTTTGGTGGTTTATGACCTGGACGTTACCATCCAAGACACGTTATTTTGCCGCTTAGTGGGGGAGGACAAGTGGTGGGACCAGGGCTTTTCTTCTTTGTTTGGGAATCTGACACATGTTTAGAGCACGTTTATTAATCCGTAATCAAATTGAGAGGAATTGAATTAAGGATGAATTGGATTGAGGAGAAATTGAAATGAGGTGAAATCAGAATCAGATTCCTATTAAGGTTGTTTACTAAAACTGTCTAAAAACAGGGTAGGAATGATATTGAGTTCATATAAGTTGTTTACTAATTGTCATGAATCGGAATGAAAACTAATGTCATTACTAAAATGCCCATATTCTAAATAATCTATATTATATGCTAATCTTTTTTATCTTTAATAAAAAAATTATTTTATTTTTAATTTCTGTGAGAAAGGCTTTTTAAGTCCTTTTAAATCCAATCTGATTAGTCTTTTTCGTTCTATGATTTGCTGACAAAACGCCTCCTCCTCACCTTCTCACTCACGCTCGACCGCGACTACCCTCCCTGCGACTCCGACCATTCTTTGCTTTCCCTCCCTACCTCACCATCAAGGATTCAAGGTAAGCCTTCTATGTAAATTTTTATTTTTGGTTGATTTGATTATGCTCTGCCCTGACCTTCCCTATGCGGCTCTGCGTAATGATTCAAGCTAACATGTTATTGAATGGTTGATCTTTCAAGTGTTTTAAGGATGCCCAATTGCAATCTTTATCCCCTATAAATTCTAACGAGAGTCTGAATTTGTAGTCTTTGGAATTAGAATCGACAGCCGAGCCCCAAATCGAAAGAGTTCAACACGGCAATGCATGGGGTGCAGAGAGGAGGCGGTGGAGAAGCACAAAGTTGTTGGAGATGATGGTGGAGGACAATGAGAAGATGGAAGGGAGTGTTGACAGGTGAAGGGTGCTTTGGGAAGAAAAGTTTGATTCTGGATGAAGCCTTCTCCCCGGAATCCAAATACTACCTCTGTGTAAGTAATCCAATTTCGTCAATATTAGGAATTGAACTCCTGATTTTACATAAGTCCTGGAACACTGTGCATTCTGGTTGAATCGGTAAACAGAGGAATAATCATGAATGGGGAATGACTCTCATTCCGCCATTTCCTTTCCCCATATGTAAACACGCCATTATAGTTGTTTACTAGAATTAGGTTTACCTTCCCAATTTCTTAATTAATTGCATCTAGAATCTCATTATTTGACCAGAAAAGCCCAGATTGGTATTTAGATGATATGGCCATACTCAAACAAGCCCAGATTGGGGTTGAACTTTCGGCCTAACTTTATGTTACACTTCACGACCCCGATTGCTAGACGGTCTTAGTTGGAATTGTCTTAGGCCATTTTTAACCGTGTTGGCTGTAGGGTTATAGGCCAAATGATAAGTTTTTTTTTTACACAAAACTCATCTCTAAAGGAGGTTTAGTGTGACAGCCCGTCCCAAATTATTTGTATCGATGGCGTAAAATGTTTATTTTACCCTTGGATGTTGTGTAGTGTCGTGTGGTTTTACTTTGGATGTGGACCATTTATGTTAAGTCCCTAATATTTTGGAACCAATTAGGAACTTAGACTTAGGTTTTATTTTCTTTTGTTTTTGTTGGCTGCCATCTAGACCACACACACGCGCACACACCCAAACCCTTTCCCATTGACCCTCTCTCTCGGATTTTCTAGCATTTCCATACAATCCGTACGGATAAACCTTCAACCAACCAATTCAGGCACGGATCAAGGTTTTAAAGTTAACATTCAAACTCCTTGCAAGCCTACGAGTTGATCTATACCTTTGTTTGGACTTAAAACCTTCGAAAACCCTAGTTTCTCGCAAGCTCCGATTTGAATATTGTTCATGCAATCGTGATCGTGAAGTTTTTAGAAGTTTTTAAGTTGCTAGGGAGCTTTAGAACGTTTTCATGAAGCTCGGAGAAGAAAAACGAAGTGTTTTGGATGTCGGGAAGTTGAGTTTGGCTAGTTTCAAGTTTGGCCAGATTTGCGTGGGTTTTTCCAACAAGACTCCGTTGGATTTAAGTCCTAAAAGTGAAACCGGCGAAAATTCAAGTTGCAGACGGTGGCGACCGGCCAGGCTCGCCGGAGAAGGAAACTAATATTTCATCAGAGTTGACGGAATATTCTAACGGCGTCAGATAACGCCGTTAACTTCTGTTAAGGTTTTAACAGAATATTCCTAACTGGCGTTAACTGTTCCGTTAGGGTTGGCCGCGAGTGGAGGCGCGTCTGGCCGTGCCTTGGCCTGAGCGTAGGTGGTCGGAAAATTTTTCTAAAAATATAGGGATGTTTGTGGTGTTGAGTAGATAACGTTGGTATATTCAAACACCCCATTTAAGCAATATATGAGAAGTTATTAGCTAGTTTCGTTTATGTGCTTTAAATTAACGTTTATATAGTTGTTTCGCATATACGTGAGACCTATCCTCAGGACGAGCGCAGTCAATCGAGGTTTGGGGGCTACGACCCTTCCACATACCAGTGAGTGGGCTTCTGGTTTTCCGTATATACCTACATACTTGAGATTTTTCCTAGAAAATCGATTTGAATGAAATTATGTTGAAATGTCATGCCTATTGATTTATGCTTAGACTATGAATTTATATGATATGTGCATATTGTGATTTGACGCGGTGAACGCTCAGGTAAGTATCAGGTGAGTTATAGACTGTTTATGTAAATTGATGATTATGTGAGATGTGTTGAAAGCTCATAAACCTGCACCCCAGTTTTAGTGCTCTTGCCCAAAGTTAGGGCACAGTCCTTCATGTGATGTTCACCTCTCGCACCATACGCTCACCTTGGATCCAAGTTAGGTGCACATTCCTCTCGTACAAACCACTTTAGTGGTTCCGACTCGTAGGTGACCAGCGATTATTCACACAGTCTTCACATGATCGTAACACTTGAGCGTATTTATTTACACGCAGTCCTGTCGTACAGACCACTTTAGGTGGTTCCGACTCGTGTGCAAGTATAGTTGTTGAGATGTGGATTTGAGCCATACAGGTCACTTTAGGTGACTCTGGCTAGATGGATGATCTCTAGATTCAGCCGTACAGGTCACGTTAGGTGACTCCGGCTGATATATCATTTGCATTGATTTATATCACTTGACTTATATATTTTTATGCTGAGATATTCGACATGGCATATTTGTGAATTTTGGCTATTCTGAGCATGGTTGTGGTATATATATATATATTCTATTTTCTGGGAAATTATACAGGTTTTACGGCGAGGGGTTAGAACTTTTGAGAAATGAAATGATTTTGAAAAGCTTTGTTTTTGCCCACTCACACTTTCTGTGTTGCGCCCCTCCAGGTTCTAGTTAGGAGTGCTTTTTGGTGGCTTGCAAGGAATCCACGGTAGCTTTGACAGATTATCACCATTGTATGGTCACCCTTGGGTGTTGTATAATTAGTTTTCGTCCTGCTAGACTGCACTTAGGCTACTTATGCTCTGATTGTGAATTCATACTTATTTCAGTCTTGCCCTTATCTTTTAGTGCTCTAGTTAGTTTGGTTTTTATTCATTCGCATTTCTTATATTAATATTGCTTCCGCATTGTGCACATACCTACATCACCTTCATGTAACGGCCAGCATGCCTTGATTTCGGTCGGGGTGTGTCATTTAGGCCAAAAAACCTTGGGACCTATCAAGCCAAAATCTAGTCGTATGGCCAGCGGACTGGGTATCCTTAGCCAGCCAGTTCAATTAGGACCAACTGGGTTTTTTTTTTTTAAGGTGAAATTAAAAATTCTAATTTTTTTTTCCTATAAATACCTAAGAAATTTTTACACCATTTCTCACATCTTTTTCACCATTTCATACTATCTTACCTCATTCTGTTTCAATTCTTCACATTCTATTCACCTTAAACACTCTTTTAATACACACCCATCTCTTACCTCTTCCAATAATCTTTCCTTTAATTTTTTTTTTTTAATAATTTTCAAATGGCAACATCTTCAAGTGGCACTCAAAATATGCCTGGAAGCTTAGTCATTTAGCGACAAGTGGTATTCAATATATCCAGAAACCTTATTTTAATATAGTAGTTTAATTTAATGGAAATTGTTATTAGCACTCCAAAAATCTCATTTGGCACTCCAAACTTTCTATAATTAGAAAGAAAAATACACTTGTGAGGAGTGTAGAATGAGATTTTTTTAGTGCTAATAACAGTTCCCAATTCAATTAGCCAATAAAATTATGGAACAAATTTAAAAAAATAAGAACCCGTTTGGTATCTTACTTGAGAACTGAACTCAAAATTTTCTTTTCTTCTAAAAACTCATGTTTTGATTTAAAAATTTTAAATCCAAAACCTTGTTTGGTATGCAATTTCTGTGTCTCAAACTAATCAAAATTTCTACCATGCTTTTTCAAAAAAGAAACAAATTTGAACACCTAGGGACAACATTGATGAACTCATTGTTATCATCTATCTCACTCCAACCTTCATGCATATACGAAATTTTGATCTAAAAACTGGGTTATTTCGTACTGAAATTGATTGACTAAGAAGAAAAATGGGACCTACTACTTTCGAGCGAAAGCTTCCAAGTGGGTTCGGAAAATGGTATGATGCTCATTCATGAGATCAGTTCTGATCTTGGCAACATTCTCGCCCAACAGATGATATTGGTCTTGCAAATAAAGGATGGTTTTGGGTTGGATTCCAGGACTTGGTAATCGAAATCAATGGTGGAGATTCTCCATGCAGGTTCTGATGTTCGACGTGGATGGGCCTAGGGCTGGATCGGTATGGGATCTCATCCCGAAAATGGGATCCCGAAACCCAAACCGATCCTTTTTGGGATGAAAATCTGAATCCCGATCCCAAACCGAAATTTCGGTATTCTCGAATTTCGGGATTTCGGTATGGTTTCGGTTTTCAATTCAATAAAATTTGACTTCTTGTTAATGGAAGAAGCTAATAAAT